GCACACAAAGAAGCAAAATAAAGCAGGAGAAACAAGGGACCATGATACAGACCCAAAACACATCCCTGAGAAAGATGCAACATTGGAACTCCCTGATAAGGAATTCAAAAGAATTATATTTAGGTACCTTGAACAAATTGAGAGCTAGATCAATGAAAACACTGACAAAATTGAGGAAAATACAGACAAAACTCTAGAATTATTTCAAAAGACAATACACGAACAAAATGACAAAATAAATGAAAAAATTAGAAATGATACAAAATCTAGAGACAGAAATCCAGAAGATTAATACTAAATTTTCAGAAATAGATAACTCATTGAATCAATTGAAGTGAGAATTAGTGAAGGCAAATATCTCAATACTTCTTTAGAAAGGGATCAATCAGAGAAAAGATCAAAACAAAATGAAGAAAGCCTGAGGTTCATGTGGGATACCATCAAAAGGAATAACCTACTTGTAACTGGAATTCCAGAACAAGAAGGGACAAATAAAACCACAGAAAAAAATTGTCCAAGATTTGTTGGAAGAGAATTTTCCTGGTATAATGAAAGATGAGAATATATCCATTCAAGAAGTCCAATGAACCCCAAAGAAGATAGACTCCAAAAGAAAGTCACCAAGACATATTATCATCAAACTCACCAAAACCAAAGACAAAGAAAGAATCCTAAAAGCAGTATGGGAAAAATGAAAAGTTACCTACAAGGGGCAACAAATAAGAATAAGTTTGGATTTCTCAGCAGAAAACATGTGAGAAGACAATTTGTTGTTGTTGTTGTTGTTGTTTGCCATTGAGTCAGGGATGGTATATATAAAACCCTGAAAGAGAAAAATTTCCAGCCAAGAATTATATACTTGGCAAAATTGTCCCTTAAATATGATGGTGAAATTAGGACATTTCTAGATAAGCAGAAATTAAGGGAATTTGTTAAAACCAGAGCAACCTTACAAGAGATGCTAAAGGGAGTCCTTTGGGCAGAGAATCAACAACAGCAAACAACAACTGAGCATTAACACATATGATGACATAACCCAAAAACTAACCCAGTTAGAGAAGTATCCAAAGTAAATAAGCCTACAAGATTGTAAACAGGAAACCAGTGACATCAATTAATAAACAAGGATGACTACAAACCAAAATGAGGGAAAAAATTGTGTAGTTACAGAACTTCTGAATGGTAGGGAAGTCAAGACAATTACTAGATAGAATGGACTGTTCTAAACTTGAGTAAAATATGATAAATCATAGGGTAACCTCAGAGAAAAATGATAAACCTTCACATCAAAATAAAAAAGAGCACCAGTACAATATTTAGTAAATACTAAAACAATAACAACAAAGGAAGTGATAACATGATTCATCATTGTAAAAAGTCAAAGGTTTATATATGGAATGGAACTTTCTTTGCTGGTTACCAGGGGTGGGAGGGGAGGGGAGGGAACACTGAAAAAAAAAAAAAAAAGAATACATTGACCCATGTCACTTTAGTTTTGTTCATTTCACTGTACATAAATTATATTTCAATAAAATGCATATTAAAAAAGAAATGTATACATATGTGTACCAAAAGCTATGTACAAGAATGTTCTTAGCAGTACTTAATAATTTCTCCGAGCTAGAAACCATCCAAATGCCCATCAATATTAGAATGGTTAAATAATTTGAGATATTTTCATACAACAGAATACTATATGTTGTTGTTTGGTGCTGCTGAGTTCGTTCTGACTCATAATGATTTACGTACTATAGAATACTATATAGCAATTAAAATAAACCAACTATCACTAACCGCCACAATAAGGATGAACCTTACAAATATAATATTGAGTGAAAAAAAGCCAGACTAAAATAGTACACAATGTTTGATTCCATGTATATGAAGCTCATAACCAGACAAAACTAATCTATGATGAAAGTCATAACACTGTGACCATTATGGAGAAAAAGGGGTAATGCCAGGGAGGGGCATGAATAGGATTTCTGGGTTATCAGTAACTTCCTACTTCTTGACCAGAGTGGAGGTTTCATGAATGTGCTCACCATATGCATACGTTTTAGGATTTGCACACTCTTCTATTTAACTATTACTTTCAATATAACAGTTTATCATTTTTAAAAACCAAAGCACCTTATTACAGGCAGATACATGTTTCCACTTGATGTTTTGAAATGTTAAAAATAGCTCAAGTTTCCATCTAGAATCTTTTAATGCTTTTCAGGGTGTGGGAAACCACGATCTGCATGGCCTATAACACATCCTGTTGAAAATGTCCTCACAGGCTAGGGGTTTCTCTCTGGTCTCATTTAACATTCTCCTAGTTTTACTCAGCAGTTCTCTCAGGCTCCTTTTACTCCACATATTCAGATGTTATAAAAACACACACACTCTCTCTCTCCCACTTTCTCTCTCTCTCTGATTTTAGTGAGAAGCTTCCTTGTTCTTCCTCCCACCTTCCAGAGATCCAATACCAGATATACTCACAGTGACCAAAAATGAACCATTATTTTAAAACATGTCTGCGAATTATTTGACATTGCTCCCGTCAGAGGTGTATGTAGTCTATATCCCCTTCCCTCAGAACTGGATGGGCTTTTGTGATTGTCTTGACAAATAGGATGTCACAGAAGTGCAGCTGTGTGACTTCTGAGGCAAGGTTAAAAAAGGTCACACAACTTCTGTTGATCTCTCTTGCGACATTCACTTCAAGGACCTTCAGCCACATGTGCAAATTCCAGCTAGTTTGACATTGCCATGTGAAGAAACTAGCCAGAAAGAGAGAAAGATGCCCTAGGATTCCCAGCTGTTTGCATCTTTTCAGTCTGGCCACGAGACATCTATGAGAAAAGCAGCCTTTGAGAAGACCTCAGTCCCAGCCACTATCAGAGTGCAACAGAAACCCTGAGTGAGAACTGCCTAGCTGAGCCCTGTCAATCTCCACATGCATGAATGAGCAAAACAAGTTGTGACTGTTTTAAGTTATTCCTTTGAGGTGGGTATTACATAATAGCAATAGATCACTGGGACATATTTTGAAGTATTTAGGAAGAAAGGGGAAAATAGAATATATTAAATTTATAAATCCACTTTATTTTATTTTTATTTTAAGAGCTTGTTTTACATTCAACGTCATGTGTACATTTAGTTTCATTCCCCATTCACCATGTCCAGCCCTAACCCAGTCTCCTCCTTTCCCTACCCTGCAACCCTCCCCCTGTGCCCCTCATAATTATGCACTCCTGTTTGTCCTGCATTTCTTCAGTTTGAATGTTGGTCCTTTGGTGTCTCATGGTCTATTGCTCTAAGGGATGTATTACCATTGAGTGTGTGGGTGCATCATCCTGGGTCGAGTGGTCTGCGTGTACATCTCGCTAATCATTGGGCTGAGAGCCCGCCCCTGGGGGTGAGTTTTATTCCAGGCGCCGAATGTATTTCAGGGCCATAGTTTTGGGAGTCTCACCAGATTTCATCTGACCAGTAATTCTGGTCATTATTGAGTTTTTGGATTTTGTTCCACATTTTCCCTCCCACTCTATCCAAGATCTCCAGATTTGATACTTTCCTTAGTGGTTGGCATTGGTAGTCAGACACCATCCAGTTCTTCTGTTCTCGAGGGTCATCATGTCCTAGGGCTGATTGCTTCTAAACACCGCCCCCCTTTTTTTTCTTGCATTCTTCTTCACTTCCGACGCTAGGAGACCATTAGCTGCATCGTAGATGGCTGCTTGAAAGCTTTTAAGACCCCATTCGCTACTCACCAATGTAGGATGTGGAGCAACGCTTTTATGTATTTTGTTGTGCCAGTTGAGTCTGGTGTACCACAGTACTATGGTCCTGAGGTAGTAGATCTATTGGATCTCACTTCCATAGTGTTGGGGTATCTGTGAGGGATTACTCTGTGTCTGTCTTCTATTGTTTCTGTAAGGATTGCAGGTATTTTGTATCACTGGTGTCTGTACCAGATTAGGCTCAGCTGAGTCTATCCTTGGTCTAGAGTATACTTCTGTTCACTGACCCCCGTCTGATCATCTCAGGTGTTTATGTGTTTATCTGTATAGCTTAATGTTTGGTGTCAATGAATGTGGTATTGTGGACACATTGGTTGGTTTTAGCATCTGTCATCTATCTCTTATGTGCACAATTTGGTGTCCTCTCATTTCCCAATGTTATCATGGTGGTCATATATCCTTCCCATATATCCCTCCCCCTACCCATGTCAGCATGTAAGCCCCAACTAGCCCTAAATTAATCCTTCCCATTCCCTCCCCATCCCGGCAACCCACTAGGTGAGTTCCCTTTTATAAATCCACTTTAAAATGTTTAAGGGAATTTAGTTAACTAAGCTTATGAAAATATCCCTAAAAAGTATTGTTTAGTACTAGATTCAAAAACACAACTAGGGATTTGTACATTGAAGTTAATGTGGAACCTAAGTGAAAACTTAAAATTCCTATTACCTCAAGTTAAATTGAAATTTAAAAAAATACAAAAGAAACACCAGTGAGAACTTCTTGGACAGCTGACTCCTCTGATCCTTTATGACAGCTCAGTGAAACAGCATGGGGAAAGGAAAGAGTGATTTATTGAGTGCTTACGGGGTGCCAAGCCATGTGCAAGGTGATTTACCTAAATAGATTCACTTAATCCTCACAATAACCCTGTGAGGTGGGTGTTATGATTCCCACTTTACAGATGAGACTCTGACAGGCTCTGTAACTTGCCCAAGGTCCTGCAGCTAGTCAAGGATGGAATCTGAGCTTCTGTGCTTTTGGTTGCATTCTCCTGAAGGAAGACTTTTGACGGTGAACTTCTAAAAGTCTTTCGGGGTCCCATGGTGTAGCTGCAGTACTGGCATCTTCTGTGTCCTCTCCAACCATACTTGTGACCCTTTCAGTGGGTAAAAAGATGTGTGTGCATACCAGTGACCTTCTGTGAATATTAAGCTGTGCAGACAGCGACACTGGCCACAGAGAAAAGGATTGTCCATCCATAGATCCTTAAAGTTCAGCAGTGTGTGTTGGAGCCAGAGGGACCTGTCCCTTGGACATAACTTGAGAGTAGCTCTGGAGAGGAGTTTTAGAATCTGTGAAGAGAAAAAGAGGAAGGATTTCAACACTATGGCTCCAGATAACTTGCCTAACATTATATGGAGACATTAATTATTTGAATCAGTTTTGTTTTTGTTCACCATCAGTACCCAATATTTTAAGGGTACCCAATCTCTGATATGGTCGAGGCAGCTGCACTTGTAAAGCATTTTACTCTGAAATATTAGGACAAGCCAGTTTTGAAGTTGTCTAGTCCAATTGTCTCATCTTATAGGTGAGAAGACTAAGAGATCAATTTTTGTTGCATCCTATGAAGAATCTGCAAACCTCTCCTTCCTCTCTAACCCTGCTAAATGTAAGTTAAAGAAAAACAACTTGTTGAGTGGAAAGTTTTATAAGACATCTTTCTTTTATTTTTACAAGAGGGGGTAGGTGAAGGAGGACTGTAAAGTAAAAACAGATGAATGACCTGGATGGGTCAAGGAGCCGGTATCAGATTGTCCTCAGGCTGCTATGGTCCAGGGAATTGAGAGGGCATTGATGTCTCTGACTAACCTGATGGATGTACCAAACATCTGGCAGGTAAAATTGGCACTACTATTAGATACTCCAAAACTGGAGACCCCAGGGCAGCACCTGAAATGTCCCTTTCAACAGTAGGTTTTCTGCTCCAGGAGTCTTGCCATGGTTTGGTGAGAAATGTGCTGTTGAATAGCACTGACAGGTGTCAAGACACTTTCAGCCCCTTACCAGGGTTGTTTCCTCTCACCATACCTATTTAATCTGTACACTGAGCAGATAATTTGAGAAGCTGAATTGAAGAAGAATGTCGCATCAGGATTGGACGAAGGCTCATTAACAACCTGAGATATGCAGACTACACAACTTTGCTTGCTGAAAGTGAGGATGACTTGAAGAACTTACTGATGAAGATTTTAAACTACAATCTGCAGTATGGATTACACCTCAACATAAAGAAAACAAAAATCGTTACAACTGGACCAATAAACAGCATCATGATAAATGAAGAAAAGACCAAAGTTGTCAAAGACTTCATATTGCTTGGTTCCACAATCAACGCCAAAGGAAGTAGCAGTCTAGACATAAAAGACATGTTGCATTGAGCAAATCTGCTGCAAAAGACCTCTTTCAAGTGCTGAAGAGCAAAGATATCTTCTTGAAGACTAAGATGCACCCAACCCAAACCATGGTGTTTTCAATTGCCTCATATGCATGTGAGAGCTGGACAATGAATAAGGAAGATCCAAGAAGAGTTGATGCTTTTGAGTTGTGGTGTTGGCAAAGAATACTGAAGTACTACGGACTGCTAAAAGAACTAACAAATCTGTCCTGGAAAAGGGGCAGCTGGAAAGCTCCTTGGAAGTGAGAATGGCCAGACTTTGTCTCACCTACTTTGGTCATGTTGTCAGAAGGGACCATTCTCTGGAGAAGGAGGTCAAGCTTGGTAAAGTGAACGGTCAATGAAAAAGGGGAAGGCCTTCAGAAGATGGCTCAGGTATAGTAGGGATCATGGGGCTGGCACAGGACCAGGCAGTGTTTTGTTCTGTTGTACATAAGGAGTTAGAGACTACTCAATGGCACATAACAACAATATGAGGGGGAAAAAAAAAACACTGCCATCTAGTGAATTCAAATTCATAGTGACCCTCATGGGGTTTCCAAGGCTGTAAATCTTTATGGAAGCAGACTTCCTCATCTTTCTCTGGAGTGGCTGGTGGGTTCAAACTGCTACCTTTTTGGTTTTTAGCCAAGTCCCTTATCCACTGTACCACCAGAGGTCCTGATAAGGTAGGGTAGAGGCCTATTAGTCTTGTTTTACACATGAAAAAGCCACTCTTGATTGATGGTGGTTAAGTGGTGGGACTAGAGTTCAGATCTCTGGATCATAATATCACAGGGTTAGAAGATACTTTTATAGCAACAATCTTCTGATTATTGCAATCTTCTCCTAGATCCTGAATCACTTTTATAAAATCTAGACTTTCTTTTGGTCCCTGCTTGAGCTCTTCCATTGATGAGTAACTCACTACTCCATGAGGCAATCCGTTATTAATGTTAAGCTGAAATCCTTCTCCTTTTAACTGTCAGTCTTTAATTCAACATTTGCTTTCCGTAACTACACACCAAGTTAAAACACATTCTAATTCCCTTTCTTTTTTAAAGTTTTAAAATAATATACTTTCCTGTCCCTTGCAGATTAAACATCTTCACTTCTTTTAACTATTTCTCATGTGGTTATCTAGCACAGTGTCTGAAATATACAACAGATAAGAAATGTTTGCTGCATTGGTTCTCTGGCCTTTGCTCCATATTGTAATGTTTCCCATTGTGTCAACTGACCACCTCAGAGATACATTTCTAAATAAGTCCTTTTCTTCATCTGGCAAATGTATACTGAACATCTCCTATAAAGTAAGACTTCAAGTGGAATCCTGTGGAGAGTGCCCATAGAATTAAAATGAAAAAGCTAGTGGAGCAAATGTTAATGTGGAGTCTGGCTCTAAGATCCTGCATTAATATATTATCCAGCAGCACTACTTTTCCTATTAAGAGAAGTACACCCATTTGCAGTTCAATTTAGGGCACTACTAGATTGGGGGTGGGTGGGAGTACTCTCTTCAAAAAGAGCTTCAGTGGAAGGTCTGACTATAGTTGTTTGGTCTTAAATTGGATCGGTCTGACAGACAAGCACTGGTGTCTGTGTAATGAAGCTGTGTCAATTCATCCAACTTCATTTCATGCTTCTTATGTAAGTGCTGGTGCTGGGATGAAAGTAATGAGCTCAAAATTTTGGTAACTAAAGAGCCAGAGAATAGATGGTGAATTGTGCTTTACCTCATAAAGGAAATTACAGTAAATTGTTACCGATCACAAGGGAATATACTATTTCATTCTAAGAAAAACCCCAGAAAGTCTTTGATGGCAGAATAAGTCAAACCAAACAACCAAAACCACAATTTTAGGAAAAATATCTCAAGTTTAAATTAGCTATCTGGACTTTACCCAATTCTGATCATGTTTTCAATTTGTTCTGTGAGCTCTGATTTGTAAAGTAAAAACAATATATTTTTTCCCTTTTCTCTACTACTTAACCAAACAAACATAAAAACCGTACTCTCTTTATAATGCAAATACCAATAATTTAGAAAGTTAGTTATATTAACAGTTTATTAATCCTGAGTTTCAGAAAAGCTGAATTTAGAAAGGGAATTTCATATGATAATATTCAGAGTTGAGGCCTTTGGAGACCGAGTCTTCTTTCACACAGAATGGCTGTGCACTAATCATATGGCAGGTGATGGATTATTCACAGCTAGAGGACAGAGAAAATTTATCACCCACTAGGGAGAAAGATATCCTCAAATTGTTAAAGAAATCTTAGTGAAATAAAGCGAGATTCTTGCTGAAAGACATTAAGGCTGCATGGACAGAAGTCCTGGGGCTTGTGTCCATTGTACTGTCAACTGACTGCTTCTCTTTTCCTCCCCTGAAAACCTCATCCTTTGTCTCCTCACATAACTCCAAGAGGGCCTTTAGAAGCCAGCTGGTTCAACACACTCAAATGAAGAAAATGAGGTTCAGAGAGGTTGTGTGACTTGCAAAATGTCATGTATTTCTTAGCAGCAGATCCTCACACAGAAGGGATGACCCGGGGCTCCCAGATCTGGGCTTTTTCTTGTTTACCACACTATCTGCCTCCTAGTGTTTGGAAAAGCTCATCCATGAAGTATGTCATTCCTAATGTTGGGAATTTTCTTTCACACATTCACTTGACTAGGTTTCTATATAGACAGAGAGAAAGATACTAATCTTGGAAGAGTTAGGATTAAAAACAAGATGGAAGCACAGGGTAGTTTAGGAAGATGAATGGAGAAAGTCAGAAAAGTGGGGGTGGGGGAAAACAAAAAGATGATGGCAGGAGAGATAAATACATGAACAATAAAATGGGAAAGGAATGGAGGACAATGTGGTAGGAGAGATGAACTGAGAAGAAAAGGGACACTAAAGAACAGTAAGCTGAGGTAACCAATTTACTAGGAAAAAAGAACAAATAACCAGGAAAAGAGGAAGATCAACATGAAAAAGCAGAGAGCTACGGAGTTGATAAAAGATTGTATAGGTCCAAGGCAGGAAGGATCCATAGGACATAATTAGTCTATATGGCTGGGGCTGGTGTGTGTGTGTGTGTGTGTGTGTGAATGAGTAGGAAGGTGAATATCAGTGCAATAGGAAAGGGGCAATGAGAGAGATATTTGCAATGCCAAGGGAGGAAATCAACAAGTGATCATGGATGACAAATCCTTGGAATCACCTAAAACCAGTTCAGTTCAGGATACTAATATCACAGGAAATTATAAATTCTGTATCTATGATATAACCAAATATTTAACCTCATATTATTCACCTTGCTGGCCTCTTTTATCATTTATATCACTTGGTTTTCAAAATGTACAAACATCTCCTGGCTTACCCTGGAAGTTTTCCTCACTGGGCTAGTTTCTTAGAAAATTTGTTGGTATTTCCAAAGAAAGGTGTGTCTCTGAAGGGGCTCCCTCACTTGGAAATGCCTTCCCAATTGAGAATAGTGGTATTTTCCTCAGGAAAATCCAAGCCTCCACCAAGGTTGAGTAGAGTCAAGAGGAAAATGTCACAGTATTGTGAGAGCAGCCAGGAGAAGGTGAAAGCAATTTACCACAACTACCAAGTACAGCATTTCTTTTCTTGTTGTTATTTGTCATCATTATTTTTAATTGTGATTTGGGTGAAAGTTTACAGAGCGAATTCATTTTCCATACTGTAACAGTTCATACACATTTTCTTTCATGACATTGATTATAATCCCCACAATGTAACAGGCCTCTTTCCACTGCCTCCCTGTGGTTACCCTTCCCCTCTGTCCTTCTTCCCCATGCATTCCTGCCCTCTGAGCTATCTCCCTATGCAAATACTGCCCTTTTGATCTCTGAGCTATCTCCCTATGCAAATACTGCCCTTTTGATCTCTGATGATTGAC